ACGAGGATGACTTGGATTTAGATTTTGATTTAGATTTTGATTCCGACTTAATGGAGGAAGGCGGGGAACCAGAATTAGCCTTTTGTCACTTGCTAGTTTCGGAGAAAGATGAACTTTTACGCTTCCTGGATAAAGATCGTGATTCTTCCACGATAAGCCAGTCATCTTCAGATAGTTCCTCACTCATGAGGCAACGATCTTGTAGTGTACATGGGGTACCCGACAAGCATAATGCACAGAGAGTGGGGGTCCGTATCTGACATAAACTTCTGACATTGAATGGCACTTGTTCTTATCCATATTGAAGAAAACTGGCGGGAAAATTAACAGTCCAAAATAGGGAATATTCACATAAAAAAAAACAGATAAATAGAGGTGAATACGATTGTTACAAGATCAATGTGATTGAACTGACCGATTCTAGGGTGAAGGAGGGATGAAAAGCAAACCTTGAAGACAAGCGAAGTCACTTCCACTTCTGAGATACGTGTTGCATGTGGAGCATACAGAAAATTCTAAAGGGTTTTCAAACAACAATGCTGTGACATCACAGCCAAGGGAGATAACTCTAACTATTCAGGCACAATACCACAAGGGATAGCTATAACTAAAATTTTCATTTCCATTTCTGTATGTGTCTGTGGAACCCAGAGGAATAAGGCAACCATAATCTAGAGGGAATTTGTATGCCATAATTATGTCATTTCAAACATATGAATCTAGAATTATAGAACAACGAGATAATAACCAGTGACATTCACCCACCGGAACAGTCTCCATTGGGCATAACAGCAAAAATAGCTGGGATCTAAAAAAAGAGAAGCAAGTAGGCCCTGCCCTACTTCCACTCCCGCTCTGACACCACACAACACTGTTGCTATACACACATACGTTTGTAAGTTAAATGTCAACGTATTAAGCTGAGGTCATCGAGTTTGAAATCAATGTGTGGCACATGTGCACAAGGAGCATACTTAGCCGAACCAGTCATCCCGTAGCTATAGAACGTTTTTTTGAACATGTATCTGGCGACCTGCATACTAATCACGTAGAGACACCAGATATGTACCATGCCAACCAGCTGATCAAACAGAGAAGCTGGAGCATACCAATTATATCATCTGCATCTATCTGAATATAATGTTTATAGCTCATACGTAACTGGGTTTGCTGGCCCGTAGCGTAACTGACTGGTTTGGTTCAAGGCTGGGCATTCAGTGGCTGTTTATTTGACTGTTTTTATTACTAAACAAAACACACCTTCGGCGGTACAAGAGCATATTAACAAATTCATATACAATTCATATGCATGCGTCTTGGATAGACAAATGAATACAATAAATAATTCCTTATACATATATACAAATCCCTATGCATAAATTAGCGTATACAATTTACAGGTAGATAAATACAAACACTTATTCAAGATTTGCTGGCATTTTGTTAATCTGTATGATTAAATTTGACAAAGAATTCTTATATCTAATAGTAGTTGACAAAGACTAATTTAGATATGTTGTTAAGACATTTTGTGGTGGGTATATATTGATTACGGTGTGAATTTAGTGCTGGACATTTAAGAATATAGTGTAATTCATCACCGATTACATGTAAATTACAAAGTGTTCAATATCTTTCACATGGGTGTTCTAATTACGGTGCCATGCAGCAAATAAATATGTGTTACCAGCAGGACAGGAGATGCTTGCTATTTCGAGACACCTGGTGTCTACATTGGTATTCAGTGATACATTAGTTATATCTTAAAGTAACGCCCAGGGGAATCGCATTGTCATCATCGTACCGCTTGAGCGTCCGCCCGGAGAGCGGAAGGTCGCGGGTTCGACCGCGTCATACCAAAAGACGTTAAAATATGGTACTTGTTGGTCCCTGCCTGGCGCTCGGCATTAATGGGTACAACAAGGACTGGTCGGCTCGGAGTCAGTATAATGTGTCTGAGTGGGGTATTCATGCTTCACTGCGGCATGGTATCTCAGTGGGCTAGCACTATAAAACCAGCTTCAGTCTGGGCTACTACAAGCAGCCGCACATACACATATACACGCATGCACGTCGTCATATGAGCGAAATATTCTCAAGCATGACGTAAAACCCGATTTCACCTCACCTCCCCTCTTCTCTTACGGCGTTGAGGTCATAAGTAAAGCAAATATGATATTTTAGATAGACTACGTGAATAATAACCCTTGACATCAAAATAGGCACCGTTTTATTCTGTATTGGTCTCGTATATATTTAAATACCTCTAATTATAAGTACTTAAATGATAACGTTGAGGTTTATCATTCACACAATGTATGTAAAATATATTTGCTTATAATTCGAGGTATTTAAATATATTTCACAGACGCAACAATTAGCATCAAGGTTGACCGACTTTAACATCCACATGATGACATCGTCTCCCAAGATGGTCCCAGAGGTGTTCTATGGGATTCATCTCATGGGATCTGGCTGGCCACGGAAGAACTTGTATGTTGTTGACATTGAAATATACTCTGGTAACACGTGCAGTGTGTGGAGTGGCGTTATCCTGTTGGAACAGCGTTCTTGGGTTATTCTGCAGGAATGGAAGCACGACTGGTGTCAATACCTGGTTGATGTAGCGGTCAGCGTTGAGGGTACCATTTATAACCACCAGGTCGGTCTTAGTGTCACCACAAATGCCACCCCAGATCATCACACCACCGCCGCCATGTGGATGTACTTCTTGGACGCAGCAAACGTGACGTTCGTTCGCCTCTCCGCCGGTAAACTCGCACTCGGCCGTCATCACTGTACAGCTGGAACCTGCTTTCATCCGAAAACAGCACTCTGTCCCAATGTTGTCTTTGCCAGCGTTGCACAATACGAGCCCACCTCAATCTGTTGAGTCGATGTTGCCGGGTCAAGGTCATTCCTCTAAAGGGCCGGTAAGCTCTCAAACCAAAATGGCGGAGACGTCGGGCTACAGTCCTCCTGCTGACGGGGTGTTGTAAAGAATCACGTGCTGATGACGTCACAGTGAGGAACCTGTTACGTAGGTGCCCCAGACGAAGATGGTGGTCACCCGTGGTCTTCCACTTCGTGGTCTGTCTGATGTCCGACCAGTATCTCTGAGGCGTTTCACCAGCCTCTCAATTGTGGTTTTGTTGCAACCCATGATTTGTGCAACTCTGGCCTGAGTTGCCCCCATCTGCAACATCCCTATCGCTCTCTCTCGCTGCTCAGTCGTCAAATGTGGCATTCTTGTTGGTGAAATCTAAACGATTCAATGCCAAGGAAGGATTCTGGGTATGATCTATACCCGACCCTTGCACAGAATTTTCCTTATGCATTTTCTCGAAAAAACCCAAACAACCCATACTTCACAGAAAAAATCGTGATGCAGATTCACCACGAAGCCAAAGCAATGACTGTTGCGTTTGGGAGAATGTTTTTATAATGTCTCTAACCATGACTTTAGTTGTGGATTAAAATTGTGTCAACGTTTATAAAACCAGCGTTTCTTTTGCCTCGAGTTTTTTAGACAAATACATAATAAAACGTTGCTTATTTTGACGTTAAGGTTTCTGTTACCCGGCTTTTTATGGGATAACAATTTATAGTGCTTAACGATGCATCAACAATTTATAGTGCTTATTAATCGATAGTAGAAATGAAAACTATCGATGCATCAAACTATCGATGGATTGCAATTGTTGAGTCTCCGATAGCAATTAATCGATGGTAGAAACGAAAACCTATCTATGCATCGATGGTATGTGTGGCTATCGATAGTTCAGTAATTGACTTCCGACTTCATATACATAAAAACAATAATCGCATGTACACGTTTTAATGGGGAATTAGCATTTCAAATGGTAGGACTTGTATGAATACCAATTATAATATTTCTACTTTCAACCTAACATAATATAACAATCATTCATCCAAATCATATTAAATACATATCGCAATTGTACCTCAGGTGTCGTCATGCAGATCATATACTCATGCCAATAATGGTTGTCACCCCCAGCCTATTAATAAAATTGAAGGGGGTGGCAACCATTATTGGCATGAGTATATATAAATGTTATTTGCCATTGAACCAATTATTTATATTAGATCACTATCAGCATATTAATGATGTAAAGCACATCTAATGTGTCCATCCATGAGTGCAATATAGGCACAACCACGACGACACGCTTAATTCACTTACATATTTAATTACGACTGAGATATTATATTCATGCAAATACACTTAGTCTATTTACACCGTGGTTTCCATGGCCACTTATTTGTAGCTGAGCGAGTTAAGCGGGTTATGCGGCTGACGGTGTACTGGCAAAAAGGTGCCTGACTCTGAGGGTGCGGGTTCGAATCCTGGATGGGACTCAATCCAACAGAAGTATGAGAATCTGTACTTTACTGAGAAAATGTAATCCCAAATATAACATGTGTTACATTTAACGACTTTTTAAGTGTATTCATAATTAGATCAGATTTATTACAGTTTGTTTTTTACAGTTGTGGTCTGGGTGTCTATATAGAGGGCATTAAGTCATTTACTGGTACTTGAAACAATAGACACTTTTAATGGTATATGGTTTGTGTTATTTATCTTTGCAAAGTGTGTTACATCAGCTTGAGCCATGACATGAAGCAAAATTAAAGTGATATTTCGATGTATGTATCTGTTTAGAATGAAAGTCAAATTTGTGGCAAATATTTACAAAATACACACAGAAAAATATACAAACATAAAGAATTTAATCATAAATTGTGCACTGTCACATACCCATAACATCATAATGTATTTCGAGGTATGTAAATACATATGAGACAAATACAGACTGAAATGATCCATTTTTTGATGTCGAGGTAATTCATTCACACAATCTTTATATAATATCCCATTTACTTATAGTTCGATGTATTTAGATACATTTGAGACAAACACAGAATAAAACGATGCCTAGTTTGACGATGAGAAGATGCTGTATATTGATTACCTGTGCAGTGACCGTCTCCAGTGATCAGCTGTCCTCGCGCAAATCTATGTCACGGGTCCCATGAGCTGATCGACGGAACAGCGTTACGCCAGCAGAATGTTACGATCGAATAATTTCCAGTTCACCGAGGCCCTGGTGCTTGTACACAGAAGTAGGTCACAGCATGGTGATTATAATTGGTCGCACTTGCTTATGACGAAGTCTAAATATATGTTGGATTTATGTTCTACCGTCCAACAGCAAATCATTGGATTATATACACTTGATCGGCAAGAAAAGCTTATCCGCATAGCTGACACCCGAGAGCAGGCAGCAGTGACATCTGTAACCGCTTTCTGTAACTCAGTTACTGTTAATCCCTTTCAACATCCGTTCCATATTTTCGGATACGCATATGAGCTATCTTGGCGGGACTGTAACGCAGCCAAGATTATTCACACGTTGAGCTAATAATAGCCTGACCACAGCCGACACTCAAGATTAACGGAACGCAGTAATCCTAAACGACATTCAGTGTTGTATCGAGAATACACATGGTCGTAATGCCCTGGGATGCCCTCCTTGTCTCGCTGGTTTTCCATTTAATGGTTTTTGTTACGATCTGCTGATTCAATTAATCGTACCCTTTCCCTCTACTCCTCGTACTATAATGCGAGTGGATCTGTCGAGGTCTTGGCACAAATATACCACTCTTGTTTTGTTACAGACGAGAGAAGCGTGAGATGTTGACCTTAAGAACCACTGAGGCAGGGTCAAGGTCATCCTTCTTATAACGCTTCCGCTGGCTGAGAGTCTGTCGCTCAATACCACGGGATGCTACATTCTCACAAAGATCCGCTAAAACAGCAACACCATATAATATAGCTGTGGTTACCGTATCTTCTCATCCCTTCATTACGCTGTTTTGTATGCCCTTTCCATAGGCTACTGAGCGGCTGCTTGGAAACATCTGCCCATATGCGCAGTATTAATACTTCATGCACTACAGCCTTTCAATGTATAAGAGAGGGTTTTTGAGTGCTAATTAAGGGACCGTTCACAATTTATGGGGTGGGGGGGGGGTGGGGGGGTGTTTTGGTGATTTTAAGGGGGTCACCTATTTTGTTCTGGGGGGCAGCAATTTGGTACACATGCACTAGGGTGGGTCAGCAATTTTGTACATAAAATGTGTTTAAAATTATGCTTAGAATTATGGGAAGGGGAGGGGGGGCGTTGATTGATACATGCATGCATGGGGGTCACTTTTTTGTACATACAGTTGGGGGGGGTGGGGGGTGGGTCATTCACATTGTACATGTTTCTCCATAAAATCCATCATTGCAATTGCAATTCCTAAGATTGCCCATTGGGTACAGAGGAAAGTCGTCCGCCGTGATATTGCTGGAATATTGCTCAAAAGCGGCGTAAAACCATATTCACTAACTCACTCACTCTCTCACTCACCAGTACATGACGACAGCTGTGAATGATCGAGTGAGGACCAGACAAAGCTTTCCTGTGTGTGACATCGTGAGCATCAGTCTAGACACGTGGGTGCGATGACGCATCAGGCGTGTCGTGGAGCATGACCAGCCGGTCTCTTTGCAGCATGGGTGATTGGCACGTGATTGGCATATACAAGTAATGGCATATTATCAACCAGCCACTTTCACTTTGAGTCTCTGTTTTGACATACTTTTATGAACCTTTTCCAGAATTCATAGTTTTAAACATTTAGGAATGATTTTCTATGAATCATCTAAATACTGATTTTTCCATGTTGTGGGCCTATATTAGCGAACCCACTAATCAAGAAATGAGCACTTTTCCCATGTATCTAATCACTTCGTTTACAGTAAAACTACCAAATGACTATTCAATTCATTGTATAGAATAAAAAAACAACTAATAAAATAAAATAAAACACATATACACTCATTTAATAATTAACTATGCTTACAAGCGCGTTTTACAACTGAATTAACTGAAAGGTTTTCGGTTGTAGTTTTCAGGTTCAAATCCCAGTGGCAACATGTGGTGAATAACACATGAAGGAGGCAGCGGTCCACCAAGAGTATTTTCAGCTTCACTGTCACAATATTAACCTGGCAATATACACACTCCATGGGCGTCATATTTCTGTCACAGTTTACGACATCAGACACCTCGATGGCAATGAGTGTGGGTGAATTAGTGGTATGAGAGTTTGGGAAACATTGTAAATACTTCAGGAAAACGTCCGTCCGTTATAGATGAATATGAATCCGTCGTAAAAGAAGACAAGACGGATCAGATGCTTGATGGGCATTTGGATGGTAACATAAGTTGGATGGTAACATAACAACGTATAACTTTTATATTTACGACACGACGTTCTGGGCTGTTTCCTGCCCTTTCATCAGGAGAATGACAGAATATGACTTACAAGCAAAATATATAGTGCGTACAGGAGGCCAGTGATATGGGATTAAAGATTGAGATGTACGGAGATCAAGGAGACGCTTCATGGTCCAGTGACCGTAGGGTCTCCTCGTTCATTGCTTTCCGAAATACCTCGGCCAACTTCGTCCAAACTCGGCCCACCTCGGGAAAATTGGCATCTTTTTTTGGTAGCCACAGCTCGCCTTGTGTTGCAGTGGTTAATTTGTTACTCATGTTTTCCTGACCTCAGGAAACACATTTCTGGTCATCCGATGGGGACTTTAAGGGTCGTATCGTTACTCTGTGGTCAGATTAAAACTTAGTTTCCCTCCTAAATGTTTGAAAAACATGAATTCTGGAAAAGGATCACGAAACATACAAAAAGTATCAAAACCGAGATTAAAGTGAAAGTTGCTCACATGCTTGATATACCTCTACTGGTATATCCCAGTCACGTGAATATTTGGTTAGAACTGGTATTCAGCAACCCATGCTGCAACGGGACCGGCTGGTAGTGCTGGGTGTCACGCTGGATACATGTCATCGTACCCACGTGTCTGGACTGATGCTTACGGCGTCACACACAGGAAAGCTTTGTCTGGTCCTGACTCGATTATTTACAACTGTCGCCATGCACTGTTTAGTGAGTTAGTGAGTGAGTGAGTGAGTAAGGTTTAACGCCGCTTTCGAGCAATATTCAAGCAATATCGCGACGGACGACATCAGAAATGGGCTTTCTTCACTGTACACATGTGGGGAATCGAACCCGGGTCTTCAGCATGAAGAGCGGACGCTACCCCACAGCCCCGTTTCACCTGTAACTTTGCTCTTGCAGGGACTTTCTTTTGATGTTTCAGCTGACCACAAACCTATGCATCTCGTCAATTGCCACGTCAGACAATGGTTTCAGATACAATTGGTAATAGCAATTACATCGTTGATAGGCTAATCTATGATATGTGACCTCAAACATTTCATAAATAGCTGAAACCAACGCTGAGATGAAGGAAGACTGCTCCACGGTCAGACACACAGGTATAAGGTGCCCCATAACATGTGCGTGAGTGAGTTTAGTTTTACGCCGCACTCAGCAATGTTCCAGCTATATGGCGGCGGTCTGTAAATAATCGAGTCTTGACCAGACAATCCAGTGATCAACAGCATGAGCATCGATCTGCGTAACTGGGAACCGATGACATGTGTCAACCAAGTCAGCGAGCCTGACCACCCGATCCCATTAGTCGCCGCTTACGACAAGCATGGGTTGCTGATGATCAATATTGTAACCCGGACGTTCACAGGTTTCCATAACATATAAATATCTCGATATACAGTTTGGAAGCAACAGCCTTGTTGGAAAGGCTTCACACTATCCACTGAAAGCATCAGCAATCAAAAGGTTATGTTTATATCCTTCATGATCAGGTGACTCTCTGACTGGAAATCCATATGAAGTGGGAGAAAGGTTCTTAAACTAGCAATTCTGTCGAAGGTATTTGTCTGTTTGCACGTTTTGATCATTTGCAAGCATCACAAGATCTGATGTAGTCCTCGATATATTGATAAAGGCCAGGAATACATCTGAATCTGGGCAGTTCTTGTGGCATCACGGCCTTTATGACATCCACCAGCAAGGGACTCATGGTATGACTTTAAGGCATCTGATCTGAATAGTTTTGGTTAGGCAACCTAATATTAATACCTCTGATTTGATAGAACACAACATTTTTCAAACCATATTCAACTGCTTTGTTTTTGTGCAATGACGTGCAGGCCAGGAGTTGATGGATCAGTTCTGGTAACAGATGCAATCATCTCAGGTTTGTCACTTGCATATGAAAATGTCATTCACCTGACGTAGGGGCAAGGAACAGTCCAAAAACGTTGTGTATACAATAAAGAAGAAGTTGACATCCATAATATTTTGTCTTATACTATGCAAATGTTGTCTTTAGGAATTTAGCATTTTGAAATGTGTGGGAACAGAGAGACGTCTGGTCATTGTCTTCCACGTGAACATTGGCATGTATTCCTGGGGACTTATTCAAGACATATGTATCATCATGCTCATTGTGAGAAGCTGATTCTTATGAAGGATAGGGTCGCTTTGATAATGCATCAGCATTTTGATTTTTCTTTCATTCTCTGTGAATAATTTCAGGTGAAGGTTTTGTGAGTGCCTTGTGGTCTGTAACCACTGTAAACTTCTGGGATGCTAAGTAAACTCGGAATGCCTTAATCCTTCTTGAATATTGGGTCATCCAGTTCCATCACTGTCCATTTCCTTTCACTTTCAATTAACTAATCTACCTCCATAAGAGATCATATGTACTTTTCCGTTGTCATTAAGCTGTCCTATGATATAGCCTAAACTGGACCCGCTTGCATGTGTGGTTAAAATGAAAGTTTTGGTACGTCTGGATGCACTAGAACAGGTGCAGATGTAAGGCAGTTTTGAGTTTATCAAAGGCATGTTGACATTTTCATCCAAGGTGAACATCATGTTTTTGTCAGCAACTGTTAAGAGGTGCAGCAGTTTGTTAAAACCCTTGAACAACTATCCTGTAAATACACAATGCCAATAAAAGTGGTCGAATGTAACACATATTATATTTGGGATGACGCTTTCTCAGTAAAGTACAGATTCTAGGGTCGGACGAGAATCACATTGCAGTTTGGGAGGGGTTGCTTTGGGGAGGGTTATCTGGCGCTCTGTTTGACATGACATTGGTTGTAATGAACTGAACTTTATGAGCCTTCCTACACATTCTGACCCGTAAAGATCCGGGGTAGAATAGGTCTTCAGCAACAAATGTGCTTGCCATAAAAAAGGCGACTATCTTGTCGTAAGAGGCGACTAACGGGATCGGGTGGTCAGTTTCGCTGACTTGGTTGACACATGTCATCGGTTCCCCATTGCAGATCGATGCTCATGCTGTTGATCACTGGATTGTCTGGTCCAGACTCGATTATTTACAGACCGCCGCCATATAGCTGGAATATTGCTGAGTGCGGCGTAAAACTAAAGTCACTCACTCACTCACTCACTCCACATTCTAGATGTATGGGTGTTGACAGTGTTTTAATTTTGGCATACTGGATGAAATCCACACCTAATTGAATTGCTAGTTTATACACTACCGCCTTCGTGGTGTAGTGGTTAGAGCGTCCGCCCGGAGAGCGGAAGGTCGCGGATTCGATCCCCGACCGCGTCATACCAAAATACGTTAAAATATGGTACTTGTTGGTCCCTTCCTGGAGCTCGGCATTGATGGGTACAATAAGGACTGGTCGGCTCGGAGTCAGTATAATGTGTCTGAGTGGGGTGTTCATGCTTCACTGCGGCATGGTATCTCAGTGGGCTAGAACTATAAAACCAGCTTCAGTCTGGGCTAGTACAAGCAGCCGCACATACACATACGCATGCACGTCGTCAGTGTATTCCCATACTGCCTACAGTTCCAAACTGCCTACAGGTTAAAACAACATGATACGGTCTAGTGATCAGGAAGTGAATACACCGATA